TCTTTATAAGCTGTGTCATGCCAGTTGAGCTAGATGTTCCGCGAGACCATGGTCCCCAGAGACCTCCGCCCAGCAATTCAGTCCCTCAGGGAGTTTGAATGTGTCTATGGGGCTTATCCTTGCCCAGTTTTATTTACAAAGTTTTCAAGTCTCATGAATAATCTGGGCAGCATAGCTTTTTCTCTTTTTTTCTATTCTGTGAAACAGTTTGATTAGGAGCAATTATTTTTCCCTAGAAGTATAGTACAATTAGCATGCAGAACCTTTGGGCTCAAAATCTTCCACTTCTGATGTAAAATTTCTTAGTGGTTGTTGATTAATTTAGGTTCTGTAGTTCCTGCTTGTTCATTTATGTTTTTCTAGAAAATCGTTCATATAAATTTTCCAAATATGTTGGCATAAAGTTGTTCATTCTTTTATAGTAAATTTTGTTTTTTTAAAAAATATCACTGCTTTTCAGTCCTATTTTAAAATCACTGCTGTGACTGTAGTTATTTATTTTTTGATCTGAGTATTTGCGCCCTCTTTTTCTCTTGATTTTTACTGCAAGGTATTCAGGGTCGGATTATCCAGTAAGCAAAATAAGCACGGACTTACTTGTCCTTACTTACTAATCTGTAGTGAACAATTTCACCTTTTTTCACCACATCAAAATTTCTGCTTGTAGGTATGGCTGGCATCTGTCAGTCTCCCAACCCCACAGCACCTTCCTACAGAATCAAAGCCTCTTTTCAAAATTACAGTCCCCGATAGAGGCCGATGACCCAGCGAGCAAGATAAGCACGGGCTGACTTGTGCTTACTTACTAATCTGTAGTGACCAATTGCACATGGGACTCACAGATTAGTAAACACAAGTAAACTTGTGCTTACCTTGCTTATTGGATAATCTGCCCCTGATATATGCCTGTATGGGTCTTTTCAAAGAAGCAGTTTTAGGTTGTTTTTATTTCTTTTTTTTTTTTTCCCCCCAGTAATTAATTTTTGCTCTTAATTTCTTTTTACATTATTTTAGATTACTTTGTTGCTGTTTTTCTGTTTCTTGACTTGATCACTTAATTTATTTGCTTTCTTTTTAATTTTTTACTCTCCCAAGAAATATGTGCATGCATTTAAAACCATCACCTGGGTGGTACAAGCAGTTTGCCACTGGCTGCTAACCTAAAAGTTGGTGGTTCAAACCCACCCAGTGGCACCATGGAAGAAAGGCCTGGCAGTCTGATTCTGTAAAGATTACAACCAAGAAAACCCTATAGAGCAGTTATACTGTGTAACACGTGGGGTCACCGTGCATTGGAATCAAATCTGTGGCAACAGGTTTGGGTTTTTTTTTGTTTGTTTGTTTATGCTAAAACGGTCATAAAAAAAACCAGAGGTTCCTTCCCCCAACATTGTCTCTTTTCAGTAGCAACCACTTTCAGCTACTTAGCAGTTCTGTCTTTGAACTGTCCTCAGTATTAATCAATTTGTGAAATTTTTAAATCTGTGTTAAATGAGAACTGTGGCTGTTACACCCTACCTTTTTCTCCCCACATCCTTAAATCACAATATAATTATATTGCAAATGTTGTAATGTAGTTTTCTGACAATTTTTGGCAAAATGTATGTTGTGTGTTTTCATTATGATAACTAAAGAGTCTTAACTGCTGAGACATGATGAGTTTCTTTCTTGTACAGCTTTTAGTTTTCCTGATGTTAATGATTGCCCTTTTATTTATTTGATTAGTTTTCCTTAAACTTTTGTAAAATGCCTCTCAATTCCAATTCCTCTAGGTCAAACCTGTCACACAATCTTACTAGTTTTTTACTTTCCTCACACATAACTGTAGGAGCCTTCCATCCTCCTACAGTCTAGACTCACCAGTTATTCTCTAGACACGCAACACACGGCATACTGCAACTTCTCTTTACCCTCATCCATTCCCTCATCTCTTCTCAATGTTAGATCTCCTGCTTACTTGAGACTCCCCCCCCCCTTTTTGGTGGATTACAATCTTACTACTTTCCAGAAAATGAGTTCATTGATATACATCTATTAAGGTTGTGTGTGACTAGAAATGACTTTATTGTGTCCTCACATTTGCATATCTTGGACTAGCATAGAAGTCCTGGATAGGAAATTATTTTCCCTCAGAGTTTGGAAAGCAGGGGAAGCTAGATAGAAGATGGAGCACTGTTCCTATTGAGAAATCCTATTCCATGTCTGTTACCATTTAAAGAGAGAAGAATGAGGAGGGCAGAAAGGCAAAGTACAAAAGTCAAAGAGAACAAAACATTTCTCCATTGTTTTGTCTTACACCATACTCCTTTCTTCTGTGTTCAGTTTCCGTCTTCCTTTAGAGCATCCTTTAGAAATTGTCAGTGGTAAACTTTCAGACATTTGTCATACATATGTCAGTGTCTTCTATATTGCTCTCACTCTTTAGCACAGTATTGAATTCTAGGTGGATATTTGTATCCCCTCAATACTTTTAATATATTATTACCTTGTCTTCTGGCCTCTATCTTTGCAGCTGAGAAGTCTAATCAGTATAACTGCTATCCCCTTGTAGGTAATTTGCCTTTTTCCTCTAGTAACTTAAATTTTAAATGATTATTATTGATATTCAACAGTTTACCCTCAATGTTCCTAGTGTATTTTAAAATTTTATTCTGCATAGTGTGTGGTACACACACTTTCAGATCAAGGGTTTTTATCTTTCTGTCAATTTTAGATAAAAACACCTATCACCTCTAACATTGATTTTTTTCTATTCCTTCTATCCTCTTCTTTTGAAATTTCTATTGGACATTTTATCGTTAGCACCATCTCCATTTTGTGATTGTGTGAGGTAGGACTTATGTTTTTCCCAAACTGCCATTTGTCCTGATACCATTTATTGACTAGTTCATCCTTTCCGCCACTGATATAAAGTGCTTACCTTTATCAAGTACTAAATATCTAGCAACACATGAATGTGTTTCTGAAGTTACTCTGTTGTATTGTTATTACTCCATTATAATTTGTTTAAATTACTAGAGATTTAGAATGCATTTTGAAATAAGACAAGGCCTCGTGTTCTTTTAATAATTACCTTGATTATGCATGTATGTTCATTTTTCTATAAAACTGTTAAAATCAGCTTGTCATGTTTCAAGAAATCCCTTTTCTTATATAAAGATCCTGGCAGTCCCTGGGTTACAAACGTTATCTGTTCCTATGTGTGCCTTTAAGTCGAATTTGCAGGTAAGTCAGAACAGGTAAATATAGTTCTTATTTAGCCTTACTTTAGTGCAGTGATTTTTAAAAGCTGCATGTGCAGCAAGTGAAGGTGATTGTGATGAAGAATTTGTTGTGAGTAGGGGTAGGGGTTGGTTCAATCTTTTCAAAGTGAGAGCAAATTTATATAACATTAAAGGTCTACAAGCTGTCTGTAAGTTGGACATTCATAACCCAGGGACTTACGGTAAATCAAAATCCCAATGCAATTCTAGTTTGAGAAAAATTGAAATCTTTATAACATTGAGTCTTCCCTTCCATGAGCATGTTGAATATCTCCATTTATTCAGATATTTTTATCCCCGTTGTTTAGCAAAGTTGTTTTGTTTTTATAATTTTGCAACTAAAAAACAAATACATCATGAGGAATGGGGGAATGAACCTACAGAACCATATTTAGCTTAACAACTGTATCCAAAAGGCAAACTGATTTTCTTTATTGAAGGAGAAGCCTAAATTTCCGATTTTGTTTTCCTTCTGACGGAAAGGTTTGCATTTGAAAAAATACCCCCCATAAACCTTAACTGTCATAAATTCATTTAGTTTATTCAATAAATGTTTGTTGAGTGTCTGCCATGTGCTGGGGACTGTTCTAGGTGCTGGGAATACAGCAACGAACAAATCAGACAAAAATCTGTAACAAACTAATGTGACAGACGTATATAAACTTCTGGTTTAAGGACATAGAATCTACCTGTCAAAGATCTTTGCCTAAATAAAAATGCCAATTTTATAATTCTGTCCATTTAAACTGGAGTCTGTTGAAGTATAATTCTGAGATAGAAGGCTTGCATTTGAAGGTTATCATCTTATTTTCAAAAAGTGAGACTTTTAAAAATATTAGCATAATAATCTTGTGATTTGTTATGATCTTTAAAGTCTCCAAACATGTATCTTTTGTATTCACACTATGTATCAATTGTTTTATTATTTGTATAGGCCATTATAAAAATTATCCAAAAAAATACTTCAGGAAAGTTATGTTGTTAACCTTGTTAGAGTCTTGTGCATTGCTTTGTTTTCTGATCACATTCAAGTTTTAGACAGAATAATTATAAGAAAATGTGTCCTTTTGGGAGCAAGATTAAATTGGAGTTAATCAAATGAACATTTGTTTTAAAGACACCTATGTAACAACTCCAGTAAAATTCCTTAATAAGAGATCAGCCCAGTCAACAGTCCTATTCACCATATGTAAGATCATTCAGATAAATACAAAGTTATATACAGTACAAATAAATTTACTTAGAACAATTGTGTTTAACAGGGAAATTGTTTTTCCTTTTCAAAAACTTAAAAAGTTGCAAATTATGCATGGAACTTAATCCAACAGCCATGTTTTATTGACAGATTCTCTTTAGCATTCGTTTTTTCCCCTTTCTTAAAATAATGCATGCTCCTTCCACCCAAGGCTGAGAAGTGGCCTACAGGGGAAGCCTTTACAATAGCCAGGATGGTGGTTCTAGAAAGAGGGCCAAAGCTGACTGTATTACATATCAATAAAAATCTTGGTAGAGATTTTAAGCTGACCAGACCTTTCTGGGAGGTAGAGGGGCTACAGTTTTTTTTTCACTCTGCTCTCAATGGGGCCGTACTTCCACATCTCTTCTTTTACCTGAACTTGCCTCTTTGGCTACAGGGAGAACACCTGCGGAGACGTAAATAACTAATCTTGGTGAAATGCATCCCTGCCCTAACTGGACCAGAGAAACAAGAAGAGGAACATCCTGATCTTTCTGCCCTGTTGTGGAGGCATATATCACTTTCAGACTCACAGGATGGCAGCCATTGACCTATCGCCCACATGGGCTCTGCGTGCACAGGACTCTGCCTGCTTCCATGTGGGAAGTACTAAGGAGGAAAAGATGGTTGCTAGATTTCCAACAACCTGGTTACAGAAACCAGTAACTTTCAAAGATGTGGCTGTGGAGTTCACACAGGAGGAGTGGGTAATGCTGGACCCTGCTCAAAGAAATTTGTACAGAGATGTGATGTTGGAAAATTATAGAAATCTTACCTCAGTGGAATATCAATTATGCAGGCCAACTGTGATCTCTCAGTTAGATCAAGAAGAGAGAAGAACTGTGGAGAGGAGAATTTCCCAAGGCACCTATCCAGACCGGGAGAATCTACTTAAAGCCAAAGAATCAACCCCTAAGAATATTTTTTGTGAAGAACCATCCAATGGAATGAAAATGATGAGACTCACAATGGATGATTATTGGTCCTTTACTTTAGAAGAAGACTGGGAATGCTATAAGATCAGAAAAGAGCACAAGATCCCAAAGGGACATTTGAGGCAAGTGAACTTTACCCAAAGGAAAGCAGCATGTCAGGAGAGATTCTATGACCATCACGAAATTGAGGAAAACTCTAAACTTGGCTCAAAACTTGTTTTTTCACAGAGAGTTTCGAGCAGTAAACATTGCTGTACATATGACTTAGATATGGAATGTTTGAAACATAATTCAGACATAAACAGTTATCAGAAATACTCTGTATGTGAGAAGCTCTGTGAAAGTCACGAATATAATAGAGCTTTCTGGTATCTTGAAAGAACTCAAATAACACAAAAAGAGTGCACATGCTTTAAATGTGAGATAAACTTCAAGCATAATATATTTCCTGTACATAACAATTTTTATATGGAGAATTCCGATGAATGTAATAAAAACAACAAAACCTCTTGTCATCATTCATCCCTTAATCAACAGGAGCAAACTCATAGTGGAGAGAAACATAAATGTAACCAGTGTGGAAAAGCCTTCAAAAGGATTTCTAATCGTATTTTGCATAAGAGAAGTCACATGGGTGAGAAACAATATGAATGTAAGGAATGTAGGAAACTTTTCCATGATTCCTCAACCTTAAGAAGACATGTGAGAACTCACACAGGAGAGAAACCCTATGATTGTAATCTATGTGGAAAAGCTTTTAGTCAAAAAACATCTCTTAAGTCTCATGTGAGAACTCACACTGGAGAGAAACCTTATGGGTGTAATCAGTGTGGAAAATCCTTTGGCACAAGCTCTTACCTTATAGTGCACAAGAGAATACACACTGGGGAGAAACTCTATGAATGCAGTGACTGTGGAAAAGCCTTTAACACAAGCTCTCACCTTAAGGTGCACAAGAAAATACATACTAGAGAGAGTATTTATGAATGCAATGACTGCGGAAAAGTTTTTAGTGGTCTCTCATCCCTTAGAATGCATGTGAGAACTCATACTGGAGAAAAACCTTTTGAATGTAAGGAATGTAGGAAGGCCTTCAGTGTTTCCTCTTCCCTTAGGAGACATGTGAGAACTCACACTGGAGAAAAACCCTATGAATGTATTCAGTGTGGAAAAGCCTTCAGTCAGAGCTCTTCACTTATTATACACAAGAGAATTCATATTGGGAGAGAAACCATCTAAGTGTACAGTGCCTTCTTCAGTGTCTTAAGGTAGACTAAAAACTCACTATGTCTTCTCTATTGTAAGTATTTAAGGCTATATGTATGGGCCTCTAAACACCTCTTTAACTAAACAACACAAGCTGTTACCTATGATGTTTTAGTTTCGGTTTCGTTATGGTGTTTAATATCTATTATGACTTTTTTAATACATGTGCTATTTGGAATTATGTATTCTTACCATGTGAGATATGAAGATTTTTAGTTACTTTTTCAATGATTGATTTCTAAGTTAACTGCATTGTCTTCAGAGTATCTGAACTATATGATGCTGCTTTGTTGGAATAATCTTGAGAGTTGCTCTCTGGCTCAGTGTGGCAATTATTGCTAGTAGCAAAATCTAATATCCAGCTCATCCTTCCTTAGTAATGAATCCCATTTTAGCTCAGGACAACAGTGTGTCCAGATACAAAACTCCTCTCAGCATCCTCGCAGCCAAAGATAGTCATATCCCCCATTTCTAGTCAATCAAACATAGATTAGTATCACTGGGGACAGACCTATCTGTTCTCTTAGACTTTTGTTTGCCTTTCTGCCCTCCCCTTTTTTCTCCCTTTTAATTTACCATTCCTGGAACTGGACCTGGATAATGACAACCATGACTTAAGAATGGTGTAGAAAAAAGGATCCTGGTACCCCAAAGGCACCTTTAAATAGCTGTGCTAGCTCTACACTGCTTATATTGGGGCATCTTTTTATGTGACAAAAATAAGCTTATTGATTTTTTTAAAAGAGCAATATGAATACAGTTGCTTTGTTATTAAAAAAAGAAAAGAAAAAAGACCACAGCAGCATGTAGAGTTACATGTTTTATGCTGGATACACGAATTTGTTTAGGAACATAGAAGAGGGAGAGTAGAAGAGGAACGCTGAAAGAACTTTTGTGCTGAACCAGAAGATGGAGCCAAGATCACTGAGAACAAGTAATTAGAGAAGCAAGAGGGAATCCCAATACTTCAGCATCAGAAATTCAGAGAATTTTTAAATAGAGGGGAAGTTACTCATTTCAAATGCTGGGTGAAGCCCTTGAGATTATGCTCCTTGGTCTTGCAGATACTGACCAGATTAGCTAAATTTTACTAGGAAAAAAAATAGCATATAGTGGAAGGAAGAAGTGATAGTTACAGTTTTAGCTATGTTAACTTTATAGGATGTTAAGACATCCACACGAACAGGTTTATATGTAGATCTACACTTCAGGAGATATCTAGGATGAGATAAAGAAAATTAGCAATATAAGTATATAGATTATAATAGACTATAGAGGTGGCTAAGATTGCATATGAAAAATGAATGGAGAAAAGTGAATGCCTGCTACTGACCCTGAAATCCTATATTTAAAAATAGAATAAAACAAGGAACCGTAGTAGAGAGATAAGAGAAAAACCTGGGGGAGTGGAGTTTCACCAAACCAGGACAAAGTAGTGTTTCAAAAAGGAAGGTACAGTCCGTTGTTTTAAATCCTCCTTAGATGTCAGAAAGCCTGTAAAAGTGACTATATCATAGAGCAATGTAAAGATCATTGGTGGGACCTTAGTAGGAGACAGTGCAGTGGTTGAGAATGGGTACTTTATTGAGTTGAGTTTAGGAATCAGTAATACCAAACACAGCATTGACAACTCTTCAAAAAGTTTGACAATACTAGGGCAAAGAGTAGCAGCTAGAGATAGACTTGGATTCAAGGGAAAGTATTTTTTTAATGAGAAACCAAAACATTTTTAAACGCTAATGTGATGGATCCAGTAGAGATTAAATATACAGGCATAAGTAGAGGGATAGTCAATAACAGTTCTTGAGAAGGGGATGGAGGTATCTGGGGCACAAATAGGATTGCTGTTTGCTATAAGAAAGGATACGTCCACCTGTCAGGAGGAAAGGAGGAATGGATGGTTTTAATTACCTTTTATTTATATCTAAGGTAATTGCATTGTGTTCAGAGTATCTGAACTATATAATGCTGTTTGGTGTTTTTTAAGACCTACTTTCTGTCCCAGTGTGGCAGATACTGCTAGTATCCTAATAACCTAATATGCATTTTCTTCTTCCTTACTAATAGAATCCCAGTTTTGCTTAGGGTAGCAATGTGTCTAGTTATAAAACTCCTTATCCTAGCTCCTTTGTACCCATGAGTGGCCATTTCCCCTGTACCTGGCCAATAAAAGGAGCTTTGGTGGTGCAGTGGTTAAGTGCTTGGCTGCTAACCAAAAGGTCAGTGGTTCAAACCCCCCAGCAGCTCCATGGGAGAAAAGATGTGGCAGTCTGCTTCTGTAAAGATTTACAACATTGGAAACCCTATGGGGACATTATACTTTGTCTTGTAGAGTTGCTGAGTTGGAATCAACTCCACAGCAGTGGGTTTGGGATTTGTTTTTTGTTTGACCAATAAAATAGGTACATGAGATGGACTGTAAATTTGTTGGCAAGATTATCTGCTAAGATGTCAACCAATGAATGCATACCTTGTTTTATGTGTTTATGTTTGCAGATACCTTATTTAATATAGTTTATTCATTGACATTGAACTCACAGCCAACAGCACTATAAACTCATGCCTCAGTGAAGCTTATCTAACACACATATTTTCTCTGTAAGGCACATCATAGCCTTCTTGGGCTTAGGAACACTAGACAGCACATCAACACTATGCTTGGGGCCATTTTAAACAGTGAAATCATCAGCAACAAAGATAAACACAAAAATGTTGTACTAAGTAGATCATAAAAGGACACTTGTTAACAGTATGAAAGAAGACAGAGCATCACCATGTTCAACCTCAGCTGGGAACGTATGTGTTGGGAAACTCAGATTTTTCATTGCTCTGTTCATTGTTGGGAAAGCAATTAAAAACAAAACCTGCCACCCCAGACAAACTTTCCACAAAAGTAGAAGAGAAAATTACTGAATGAACATTAAACCAGAAACTGATGTACATCACTGGCAATCCATTAAAGAGACTGCAAAGACAGAAATTTTGTCCTTTTACATAGCCGAGCAGATGCAAACCAGTTTATACGTGTTCTGAAAATAAAGGATAACTAGTCCTCAAGTAAGGCTTATGTAGTTCAGAATGTTGCATGAAGGGAGTTTTAGGAGGAAATTCTTATTTTTGACAGAATGATTCCCATATCATCTCTCTGGTAAGCTGGACTACTTACTACCTGCAAAGGCACTCCCAGATTGCATGTCACTCACCTGAACATTGGCCTCGTCACTTCTTTCTCCGTCATCCATAACGTTTCATCTTGCTTCAATGAGGAGGTCATGTTTAGTTTAGAACTATAAAGTCCTACTTACAATGGGGAGAAATTAGCTCTAATTTCTCCAAGTGCATTTCATCCTATTCTCCTATAATCTCCAGGCAACATGCTCCTTCCAAGTCATACTTTTGCAAATGCTTTTTTTCCTATGTCGAGAATACTCACCTTCCTCACTGTCCAGATCAGACATCATCAAACCGGCCCATGGGCCATACCTGGCCTGATGTCTGCTTTTGTATGGCCTTCAAGCTAACAATGGTCTGTATGTTTGAAAAGGATATTTAAGAAAAAATAAAAATATTTTGTGACACATAGAAATTGTATGAAACTCAAATGTCAGTGCCCTAAAATAAAGTTTATTGAAACACAATCATACTTGTTTTCATATTATTTATGACTGCTTTCACGCTACCATGGCAAGAGTACTTGCAACAGAGACCTTATGACCTGCAAAATCAAAAATATTTACTATCTAGCCCCTTTATGAAAAAGTTGTTGTCTCCCAGACTAGATAATTTCTGCTTAGTCTCGAGTCTGTTTAAATAACAGTTCCTACGCCAGATTCTCCATGATTTCTATCCCCACCACAGTTTTGTTAGATCCTCTAGACACTCATAACAACCTGTATTTTTGTCATGAAATCTCCTTTGCACTCAGAAAATACCTGATATGAAATGCATACAGCCAGATTCAAGGATAAGTTGAAGTTGGCCTGCCCTAAAATTTAAGCTGCGTGCTCTAAAATTTAAAACCTTAACATTGATCACTGATATCTGGAGTTTGTATAAACTCCTTATACCTATACACTATTTTTACACAGTCATGGGACTCATAATGTCGGTTTGGGCAATGTTCAACCACGTATACGTCCATAGTCCCATAAGGTTTTTTCTTTTAAAGGAAAAGCAATTCCTTATTTCCCCCTAATGGTTGTAAAGACCCCAAACTCCAAGACTGAACAAGCAGTAGGGCTCCAGAGCACATCCCAATCCCCACAGCACCTCCTGTTCCTCCTCCTGGCTTCATTCACCTGCCTAGCAACCACCTAGCAGCCGTACAGCCATTCACTCCCAGCGCAGGGCAGCACCTGTATCAGCACTTCTCCTGGCAGGGGCACTGGCAGGGGCACCAGCCAGGCATAGGGCACTTGTGACCCCTGGCTCCAGGTGGCAACAGTGGCCGCACATGTTCAGGATGGGGCTGTACCAACAGGGTGGCAGCAGCGAGGGCCACCACTGCCAGCTGCACTCCCGAAACCTCCTCCATGCCCCCATGCCCCCTCACCCCCTGCCTGGACATATGCAAAGTCACAAGGTGGCTGCCAGCATCCGACCCGCAGCTATATACCCGGCAAGGCCAGCCCCCTATATCTAGTAGACACAGCTCTCGGGCTTTGGCAGGCAGGCGGTGGTGGGGGCTTATGGGCCTGAACTCCTGCTCCTCAGGCAGGCGAACAGCAGGTGAGGCTAAGCATGTAGCGAGGGACTGCCTGTGTGCAGGATGGTGTTTGCACAACATCCAAATCACATAACATCCTATTTCATAGAACATATCGTGGATGTTAAAGCTATGAATGAATGTATTGCTAATGTCAATACTGAGAATAAAAGGCTTATGTATGGAAAATGACTTTGGCCTATCTCACCAAAGGGCATTCTCAGACCATTCTAATTAAATCCTAGGTGTTATGGATTGACTTGTGTCCCCCCAAATGTGTGTTGGAATCCTGACTCCTACACCTCCATGTAATCTCATTTGGGAATAGGTTTTCTTTGTTATGTTAATGAGGCCATTATCCGTGTAGGGTGTATCCTAAACCCACTTCTGAGATAGAAAAATCAAATTAGACACAGAAACAAGTAAGCACAAATTGGGAAGATGGAAGCACATGTGAGAATCGCCATGGTCATAGCCCAGCCCATATGAACCAAGGTATGCTTCTCATCAGTGTTTCAAACACACTACACTGTTTTAAATTAGTCTCTCCTGAACAACTCTTATAAAAAGTTGGGAAGCTTCAAAATGTGTGCACAATAGTAGCATATCTTATGGCAAGTTTGAGGAAATACAACCCTTCTAATAATTTCAAACCCTAGTATATGTAAATTAGGCTCCTTGGGAGTAAAACTTCTAAATTCTACCTCTGACAAAATGACTTATGAAATATTTATCTAACATGTTCTAGAGATGTGCCCTCCATGTGGCCACTACAATATTGTCAAGAAAGTCACTCCTATCCATATTATTTTTTCTCTTTCTATAAAATAAAATTGCATAACTTCCAAAGTAAACTAACGGTGTGAGTTTTGCCAGCTGGGCAGCTGTTATGGATTTAATTATGTCCCCCCAAAATATGTGTTGTAAATCATGACCTCTGTGCATATGATTATAATCCCACTTGGGAATGGGTTGTTCTATGTTAATGAGGCAGATTTAGTGTTGGGTCAATCTCTTTTGAGAGATGAGAGATTAAACGAGCAGAGATGACAAGCCACGTGAAGATAGCCCAGGAGCAGAAGCTCAAAGAGATAAGAACCTTCCTCCAGAGCCGACAGAGAAAGCCTTCCTCTAGAGCTGGCATCCTGAATTCAGACTTCTAGCCCCCTAAACTGTGAGAAAATAAATTTGTTAAAGCCAGCCACTTGTGGTATTTCTGTCATAGCAGCACTAGATAACTAAGCAGCTGATAATGTCAGAAGTTTTAAATAGGTGCTTACAGAAGAACTGTTTTCACTGTAAATGAACAAAATGGGGAAAACCACCTTGACGTTTTCTTGTGATGGATCCTTGACATGGATTGAATTGTGTCCCCCAAAGATATGTGTCAACTTGGCTAGGCTGTGATTCTCAGTATTGTGTGACTGTCCACCATTTTGTCATATGATGTGATTTTTCTGTGTTGTAATCCTACCTGTATGTTAATAAGGCAGGATTACAGGCAGTTATGTTAATAAGGCAAGACTCAATCTACAAGATTAGGTTGTGTTTTAAGTCGATCCCTTTTGACATATAAAAGAGAGAAGCGAGCAGAGAGACGGGAACCTCATACCACCAAGAAACAAGAGCCAGGAGAACAGCGCATCCTTTGGACTTGGGGTCCCTGCACTGAAAAGCTCCTAGATTGGGAAGATTGATGACAAGGACTTTCCCCCAGAGCTGACAGAGAGAAATCCTTCCCCTGGAGCTGACACCCTGAATTCACACTTCTAGCCTACTAAACCATGAGAATAAACTTGTTTGTTGAAGCCATCCACTTGTGGTATGTCTGTTATAGCAGCACTAGATAACTAAGACAACCCTATATACATTTATTTCTGAGTAAGAAATGTTTATAGTCGGATCCAAGTATAAACATGAATTAGCATAACCTTAATTCACTTTCTCAAAGTTAAAATCGTAAGATCTAGGATTGCTACCTAAAAGTGTTCCTATAATCATGTTTGTACAGTGTTTTTAGAAATGTACAATATTTTTCATTGATGTCGTTATGATAGTTGTATTTTCAGAATCACATATGCTGTGAAAAAAATCAAGTACAAAATTAACTCATTATAAACCAAAAGATTTATTCATAACTCTTTTCTAAATTTGTTTTAAATAAAAAAGTAAAACAACACACACCCTCTGCCCCCCAAAAAACACACACACACACCTCCCAGGCTGATTCCCTCCCTTATGACTTCTCAGAACTCTAGGATTTTGCCACATTCTAGTTTTTCCCCCACTATAATTCTCTGTGAAGGTTTAAAATATTGCAGAAAGTTACCTATATTCTTTTCAGTGATAAGGCTATTTTCTCTACTAGAATTTTTTTTTAATGACTGTTGCATGGTACATGAAGGCACTCCACAACCATTGTGTGATTTTGCTTCACTATGAATTTTCTGATGTGCAGGAGACAGTACACCCTTTGTGAAGCTCATTTCTTTCCTATTAATTCTGTCCTGAATGAGCAGATAGATGCAGAATGAGGGCTAATCTCTAAAAGCTTCCTCACATTTACTGAACATGGCTACAGCCTTTTCTGGTAGGAATCCACAATGTACAGGAAGGAAATCCTGCCACATAAAGATTCTTCTCCATATTTATTGATTTCTTCTGGCATTACAACAACAAAAAAAATAAGTATCTACTAATGCTTCCCCACACATTCCTACAGGTTTTCTCCAGAATGGATTCTCTGATGCTGAATAAGATACGAACCACGTTTCCTCACATTCAACACATTTTTATAGACGTCTTTCCAAGAGTTCTCTGAATTCAAAGTAAGGCATTAACTGCTTTTCTTTTTTTTTTTTAAATAATCTACATTCTTAGCTTTCTTCTACAATGTGAATTCGTTGGTGTTCAGTAAGGAATGTGTGGTAATTAAATGAATTTTCATATTCATAGGGGTTCTCTAGAGTGTGTGTTCTCTGATGTTTAGCAAGGTTTGAGCTCCAGCTGAAGGATTTGTTACATACATTACATACATAGGGTTTCTCCCCAGTATGAGTTATCTGATGTAGAATGAGGGAAAAGCTCCGACTGAAGGCTTTGTCACATTGAGCACAAGCATAGGGTTTTTCTCCAGTATGAATTTTCATATGTTGAGTAAGAGATGCGTGCCAAGTGAAAACTTTACCACATTCATCACATTCATAGAGCTTTTCTCCGGCGTGAATTCTCTGATGTTTAACAAGGAATGAGTGGCAACGGAAGGCTTTCGAACATTCATTACATTCATAGGGAGTTTTAGTAGTATGAATGCTCTGATGGCGTGTAAGGTGTGAGGAACGGCGAAATGCCTTCCCACATTCAATGCACTCATAAGGTTTCTCTCCCGTATGTGTAATCTGATGGCGAATGAGTTCTGAACCACTGTTAAAGGCTTTTCCACATTTTCTACATATATACTGTTTCTTTCCCATGTGAATTCTCTGATGTCGAGTGAGGTTTGAGGCACGGCTAAAGGCCTTTCCACATTCGGTACATTCATAGGGTTTCTCCCCAGTGTGTGTTCTCTGGTGTTCAATAAGGAATGAAAGGTAACTGAATGTTTTGTTACAGTCCTTACACTCATGGGGTTTCTTTCCAGTATGTATCATCTGATGTTTCACAAGGTTTGAGATCTGACTAAAGGTTTTGCCACATTCCTTACATACATATGGTTTCTCTCCAGTGTGAGTTCTCTGATGTAGCACAAGGGAAAAGCGCCGACTGAAAGTTTTCCCACATTCGTGGCATCCATAGGGCTTCTCTACAGTATTGATGCTCATGTGTTGAGCCAAGGCTTCTTGATGAGAGACTGTCACTTGCCTGATACATCCTTGACTTCTTTGCAGCATCTCAGTGTCAGCCACACACTTCCAACCGCCTTTAAAACTGGAATCCTCAGGGCAGTGGCTTAGAATTCTTTCCATTATCAAATACTGGTATGAATCATTTTCATAAATATCATTTTTTGGAGAAATCTCATTGATTTCACTGTTTGACTCTGAAACTGAAAAATATCAAAAAACCAGGCAAATGTTTCTTTTTTCTGTATAGAGTAAAATATGCAATCCACACCAAAATGCCAACAGCCTTCTTTGCAGAAATGGAAAAGCCAATCCTCAAATCTGCATGAAAGGGCAAGGAACCCCAAACAGCTAAAGCAACCTTAAAGAAGAATAAAGAAGGAGAATCTACACTTCCTGATTTCAAAACATACTATGAAGCCACAGTCACGAAAACAGCCTGGTACTGGTAAAATAATACACATACAGACCAATGGAATAGAATTGAAAGTCCAGAAATTAATCCATACATTATGGTCAACTGATTTTGGACAAGAGTGCTAAGTTCATTCAATGGGGAAAGAAGAGTCTCTTCAATAAATAGTGCTGGAAAATTTGATTTCCACATGCAGAAGGATGAATTGGGATGCAACCCTAACAACATATAACCATACACAAAATCCAACTGAAAACTGATCAAGGACCTAAATGTGAAAATTAAAACCATAAAATTCTTATACGAAAATATAGGAACATGCTTGACTTATTTTCTAACAACAGATTATCAGATATGACAAAAACATGAGCAACAAAAGACAAAATAAATCAATGCAACCTCATAACAATGAACCCTTTTATGCTTCTTTGGACAGACCGTGCCCAGTTTCAGGTTTCTCGGGAGGCTACTTTTCCACTGAAAGTATATGCTGCCTTCCAGTGGGGGCTTGTGTAACAGTGAAAAATGAAAGAAACGTTCTTTGGTGGAAATTCACTAAAGTAGAAGGCTTAGGTATGAGACAGTGCATCTAGGGAGAATAACTGGGTCAAAATGTCTCTTTTGGCTTTTGTACAGCTAGATAATCCTTGTAAGTATATTTATGGCTTCCTGTGTGATAGGAAGCCCTGGTGGATTTGAGTTTTTTGTGTGTGTCATATTTGGAAAACCAATGTGACAAACTAGAAGGCACCACCCTCCAAAGATCCTTGGGACAGATGGACCCACTAAACATCGCACCAGAGTACTGCCAACATTTTGTGGGAAAAGGTATGACCACGTTAAATTTTCAAAATTCATATTACCAACCAAAAATTTGAACCCACTCAATAACTAAGTATGCACTCCACTACTGAGAACACATGCCATCATCAAAAAAGTCTAAACACAAAAAAACTGGGAGCTTAAAAGGGTTACTTTTGGGTGGCACAAATGATTTGCTCTTGGCTACTAACCAAAAGTTTGGTGATTCAGATCTACCCAGCAGCTCCATGAAAGAAAGTCCTGGTGATCTGCTTCTATAAGATTACAGCCAAGAACACTCTATGGAGCAGTTCTACTCTGAAGCACATGGGGATGCCATGAGTTGTAACTGACTCCATGGCAACAAGTTTGGTTTAGGGTTTTTTGTTGTGAGCCGCTATAGACTAGGCCTCCGATTCATGGCGACCCAATGCACAATGGAATGAAACACTGCCCAGTCCTGCACCATCCCCATGATCAATTGAGGATCAGACTATTGTGATTTTCATTGGCTGATTTTTCTGAAGTACATCAACACTCCTATCCTCCTAGTCTGTCTTAGTCTGGAAGCTCCACTGAAACCTGTACAGCATCATAACACACAAGCCTCCACTGACGGATGGGTGGTGGCTGCATATAAGGTGCACTGACCAGGAACTGAACCCGATTCTCCTGCACATAAGACAAGAATGCTGCCACTACCACCAGTCTCTCAGTTTTTGGTTTTCTCACTCATCAAAGGACTTTGTCAACAAAGTGAAGAGACAATCTACAGACTTGGGAAAAATTTGCAGGAACCGTATATCCAATAAGAGTCTAATATCTCAATTATAAAAAAAATTCTACAGTTTGAAGACAAGACAAACAACCCATCTGACAAATAGACAAAGAACTTGAACATACAGTTTACCAAAGAGGATATTCAAAAGGCCAATAAGCACATAAAAAGATTCTCAATGTCATTAGTCATTAGGGATATGTTAATCAAAACCACAATGAGACACCACCTCACCACCATTAGAATGGAAATGATCAAATAAAAAACAATAGGTGTTGGCAAGGTTGTGGAGCAACAAAAACCCTCATCCATTTTAGTGGGAAGGCAAAATGGTACAGCTGCTGTGGAAAACAGTTTGGCAGTTCCTCAAAAAGTTGAACACAGAACTACCATATGACCCAGCAATTCCAATCTTAGATATATACCCAGAAATTAAACCAAGAATGCAAACAGAGATTTGTAAACCAACATTCATTGCCACACTTTTCACAATAGCCAAAAGATGGAAACAACTGAAATATCCATCAACAGATGAATGGATAAACAAAATATGTTATATACATACAATGGAATATTGCTCAGCTATAAAGGGAAATGAAGTCCTGAAACATGCCATAACATGGAGGAACCTAGAAAACGTTATGCTGAACAAAATAAGTCAGTTGCAAAAGGACAAATACTGTATGAAGGACAAATATATAGAAACCAAAGATTAGTGGTTATTGGGGGCAAGGAGGGCAAGGGAGAGAGTGGAAAGATGTAATGGGGAGTTTGTACTTAGGGGACACTAAGTTTATGTTAATGGTGCTGGAATAATTTGGAAAAGGATAAATGATAAAGATTGCATAACATAAAGAACATAACCAGTATCACTGAATTATACAGGTAGAAACTTGAATTGGCAAATTTTTTGTCGTGTATATTTTGACCATAACAAAAAATTAAAAATACATGAATAAAAGCCACTCCTACTTTTTTGAATTAGGAAAGTAAATTGAAAAAAAAATCTCATCAATTACATCACTTTCATAACTGTCATGTGACTGAAATCTGAAAGTATGCTCAGAAATTCAGAAGAGGTCAAACAGGACAGACATGGATGAATAAAAAAAAAACAAAAAAATAAACCCACCTGTGTCAAATCAATTTCAACTCATAATTTCAACTTATCTGACCTTATAAGACAGAGTAAAACTGCCCTATAGGGTTTCCAAGGCTATAAATCTTTATGAAAGCAGACTGCCGTGTCTCTCTCCTATAGAGCGGCTGGTGGGTTCAAACCAGACTTTTTGGTTAGCAGCTGAGCACCTGAACTGTGCCACCAGGGCTTCTTATGGATGAATAAGAAAGATTACATATAAGTCACTGAAGAAGAGAAAAAAACAACTATCAGGAAAACAAATACTTGGGAAGGATAGGGTGTTAAGTCTTCTTCACCATTTAAAATATATTTACTGCCAGAATTATCTGAAAATAGGAATTTTATACTGCTGCAAATAAACTACAAGTGTTCTTGGGTCCCACAAAGAGACTAGACTCTGAATTCACTTAGTGCCTTTGGAGCATCTTACAGTAACTTTATTCTAAATGAAAAAAATGGTTTCTTTGTGTCATGGATTGAATTGTGTCCCCAAAAAATATCTGTCAACTTGGCTGGGTCAAGATTCCCAGTATCGTATGATTGTGTACCATTTTGTAATCTGATGTGATTTCCTTATGTATTGTAAACTCTATCACTATGATGTAATAAGAGGGATTAGCAGCAGTGATACTGATAAGGTATACAAGATTAGATACTGTCTTAAACCACTCTCTTGAGATATAAGAGAAGTGAGCAGAGACACACAGGAACCTCTTATTACCAAGAAAGCAGTGTCGGGAGCAGAGCGCATCCTTTGGACCTGAGCTTCCTGTGCAGAGAAGCTCCCAGACCAATGGAAGATTGATGACATGGACCTTCCTCCAGAGCCAAAAGAGAGAGAAAGCCTTCTCCTGGAGCTGATGCCCTGAATTTGGACTTGTAGCCTACTGGACTGTGAGAGAATAAACTTCTCTTTGTTAAAGCCATCCACTTGTGGTATTTCTGTTAT